CTGTCTGATGGCGGTGGGGAAGAAGCTGTTGCGGACCTGCATCGAATGCTACGAAGAGTCTTCCCAGGGGGCAGCAGGGAAAGCAGTCCATGGTGGGGGTGTGAGGGGTCATTGATGATTTTGCGAGTTTGGAACACGCAGCGCTGGGATGGGATGTCTTTTATGGAGGGAAGAGGAGCCCCGGTAATCCTCTCTGCAGTTCTCACCACTCTTCTCACTTTCTTCCAGTCTGAGGTGCTGCAGCCTCCACACCACACAGTGTGACAGCTCGCTTAGAAAACCCTCTATGATGCTTCTGTAGAATTACTGATTTTTAAATACTTTCTATGTTGTATACTAAGGGTGTGCAAAATAATCGTCATGACGATGCATCGCGATTCTAATTTTTGTGATCTACTGCATCGATTCTTGAAGGCAAGAATCGATTATAAAAAAAAAAAAAAAATGAACAAATAAAATACATTAATGGTTGGCGCACATCAGCCAAATCAAGAGTAATACAACTTCCAGTCCAGCAGATGTCACTGCTGATGTGTTGACGCCCGCTGCTTTGTTTCACAAGCATGTCCGGGTGCGGGATACTGAGACGAGTCATTCGTAAACAAAATATGGAGGACACTGAGAAAATTCGCCCCCCGGCTCCATCACATTTCAAGTCAGATGCTTGGATGCATTCTGGCTTTAAAAACAAAGAAGGTAAAAATGAAATTGATATGATGCACATCATTTGCAAAAGGACCACTGAGGCCATGTAAACGGCACTGATTATCCTTATTTTGTTATTTTAAGTTTGATGAATCCTAAGATCTTTTTGTCAGTGTGTATACGCCAATAATAGTAATATTTCTGTCCAGTATTTGTTTTCATGGCAACACCTCCAAAAGCTGTTTCAATAAATACAGCTATGTATGAATTCAGTTGCTTTATGTATCAATTGAAGACACTATCCAGATCATACCCAGCCAGTCAGCCACTGGTAAGGGTGGTATCTTTTTCTTACAGTGTTCAGTGAAAATATCGCAATGCATCGCAATATTTCAAGTATCATGATGCATCGTGATAGAATCGCATCGTGGCATGTGAATCGTGATTCGAATCGAATCATGACTTCTTTGCCAATACCCACCCCTATTGTATACATACAGGTAGTTAGTGTAAAAGCTGAGCCCATTGCTATCTCTACAAGAGAAACAGGATTAAAAACCATGAAGCAGGTCTTACTCTATCATCTACAACCAAATACCAATTTCATATGACAAATTAAAAGGTAAGCTATGGATTGCTCCCTTCCTCCAACATCATTGGTAGCCTACTGTATGTTATATCAGCTTAAATCTTTGATGAAACTTGGGTTCACAAGTGTTAGAAAAAAAATACGGCAGTCATGTTTTAGGAA